AATACATGCATGGTTTCTTTTCTTGTAGTACCACTGTTTAATAGAGGCTCGAAAAAACTCCATTAACATAGTAATGGGTAATTTCCGGGAATGACGACCTAGAGTGTTGATTGATTCTGCACTATTAGACATCATAAAACCATATCTTGCTCCAAGTTGATGTACTCTTGACCATCTTTCAAACTCGACATCTTCTAGTGTTTGAGCACATTGAGGCAAAACACGTCTTAAACAATTTATATGCTTATTAAAATCCACTTTCCGATAAGCTTTTACAGTCTTCCAGTATGTTTATTTGTGATTTTTTTATACCAGCAGACCTTGATTTTAGATTTTTGTACAAATGAACACCACAAAGTCCATGAAAAGCATCTGGGAAACACGTTCTAACAGCGTTGTCAATTGAGTTTGCCCTATCTGATATGATTGTCAGATTGTTAATAGGATCTATGCAATCCCTAAGATGCCCCATAAACCATGTCCATGAATCAGAGGTTTCAGATTTGCCAACCCCGTAAGCTATTACAGTATCTCATTGTTAGCATCCATGGCTACTGCTAATAAGCTTACTCCAAGGTATCGACCTTTCAAATGTGCTTCATCAACTATAATAATTGGGCGTATGCAAGTAATAAACGAACGAATCTACAAAATAATATACACAAGAAATATAATCATTTAAATGTGAAATGCATGTAACTAACAAAAATGAGTCAATAAAATTATATTGATTTACTAACCGCATCACCAATGGCGATAAACATCAACTCAAAGCGTCCATCTCTATATGTTTTGATATGAGTTATCGACCCAGGATTTTTCAGCTTTAAATTATGACAATAAGCCGACAATTGGGCAAACAATGCTTCTGGAGACCCCCTCAACAATTCCAATGCATAACATTTGGCTCTCCAAGCTTAAGAATATGATATACTAATCTTGAACCGAGCATTCATGTCAGTTATAATTTCATGTCCCTGATATACCCTGTCATTCAAAAACATTAACTCAGCCAGAAAACCACCCAACATCTTCTTTTTGTTTGCCTGTCTATGGTGAGGAAAAACTTGGGTTCTTGAACATGCATATTTATCAATAAATTCCTAACTTGAAACATTTCGCAATCTTTTATCCTCTTTGCAATCATACGCCACATACAGTTTTTTTTTCAATCATACATTTTGTTTCGAAACGATCTTTGCTTGATTTGTTAACTTGTAGTTGATAGCCATCTTTCATACATTTCGTATACAAAGGTATCTTCAAGTGTTCCTTTGTATCAAAACAATCATCTTTCTTGATACGAATAACTTTTATGAAACAATCAACTACTATTTTTACCAACTCTTCTTCCGGTATCTGAAGTAATTCTGGCATATTCCAGTTATACTCTTGTGGCATTTTCTTCTTTTTCTTTTCTTCGGGGACTTCTTATTCTTATTTTTCTTCTTCAGGGTTATATGAATTACATAATGGATGTTCAACATGTTCATTAATAGTCGTAACTTCCTCATCATTATTATCAACAACATCTTCCTCGGCAGTGGCTGTTTCATCATCAAAATTCGGGTATTGACCAATATCAAAATCATTACACGCATGGTCTGTTTCTTCTTTTGAAACATCATCAATATCTGAGTATTGACCAAGATCAAAGTCCAGGTATTGACCAAGATCAAATTTCGAATACTGACTAGTACTCACAATTTTTTCTGTTGGCTCATAATCGTCTAATTGGTCAATACAAAAACCAGAATTTGGTGCTGAAAGTTGATTGGGATTTGGATTAGGAAAAGACTGCGGGTTTTGAGATTGTGTTTGATATTGTGTTTGGTATTGGAAATGTGGTGAAATAAAATTTTCTTGGTGATGAAATTGTGGTAGAACCATTAAATTTTGAGGTTCATAACAACGTTGTACATTGTGAGCACCATAAACTGGGGTTGAAGAACTTAGTTGATTACTACCCGCTATTGACCAAACTTCACTACTTCTAGGTTCAACAACATACAATGTGTAACATCCTCAATATCAGGTTAGTGATCAAATTGTAAAGTTTCAGAAATTGGTGATTAAAGTAGAAGAATGAAATAGTTCAATAATTTATTTGGGAATATTTCCAGGAAGTTGTTAGTAATTATTAAAGGAATTAAGGACAAAGTGGTCATTTGTCATAAAAGATGTTTTTTTATCTCTTTAAGAAGAGATAAACATGTGGGAGGGGAAGGAGTATCTGGAAAACTCTTCTTCTTCTTGCTTTCTTCTTCTCCAACATGCTGAGCAAAGGTGAGTTTAATTTCAGCTGTTTAATTCTTGGATTTATAAGTTGATTTTGATTCTTTGAGTATTATATAAGCTTAAGGAAAGCTTATATAAGCTTTAAACATCAAGAATAGAGAATTAAAAAGGAAATTATATGAAGGGTGTAGAAATAGACTTTTGTTATAGAAAGGTTTTTGAAGTTCTAAAGCTGGATTTGACTTGTCAATGGTCTAATTAAGAAGTTAGAAGCAATTGAATGAAATTTGGAACATGTTAGAAATTGAGTATGATTCTTGAATTTCATAAGGAATATAGGATTTTGAGGTTAAATATGATTTACATTGATATAAGTTGATTTAAGTAATGGTAGTTGAATTTAATGACATATTAGAGGCTTAAAATAGAAGAATTAAGGGAAGAGTTGATGATTTTCGTGCTAAAATACAAACCATCGTCTCGATGATGTCTCCCGGCAATGGCATGCTCTCGTCCCAATCTTCTGGTTCTTCTTGCTTCACTCGCTTCACGCAAACCAATGTTTAAGCACTGCCCATTGCTTTCTTTTTGAATAGGAAACTTTTAGTTTCCATGGAATCTTGGGGACTTAAATGATCAAGGTATGAAATCATCTATGGAGGCATTAATTGATGTAAAGTTCCATAGGTTTTTACGCCTATATCTTAGCCAATGTTGACCTATATGAACAATATGGCATTTTCATGGGCGATTATTTGTTTTGATGTTCATTATAAGACAAGAGAGCCGGCTCTAACTTAGTCTACTTGTTACATATGTATAAGATCATGTTTGAATTATAACACACCCTCCTATACTACTAACGTCATTAATTGAATTATAAAGATTGTAATTTTTTCTTTAACAAACTAAAGATCATAAATTTAAATACACTGAAAAGTGAATTATTAATTACTTTATAATGAGGGTCATAGTTTGGGAGTTGATATTAACATTTTAAAGTTTATGAATTAATTTAAAATGGTGTCATGGTTCAAGGAATGATATACAATATTTTAAAGTTTAATGATTAATTTAGAATGTGAATATAGTTCGAGGGACCTTCTATGGAATTATCTCTTGTAATTATTAACCACATTAGAAGTGAACAGAACTCGACTAAAAAATTGAATTTTTTTCTCAATTTTAAGTTACTCGAGTCAAGTCAAATTATTGATTCGATTTTCAAGTTCTAATCAAGTTGAAATTTGAACCATATGCTCCTAAACCATCATAGTATCCCTATGTACATTCAATTCCTCTTTTTGATAACAAGTTTTTTTATTTTTTCAATTTAATCTCTCAACTTTGCATGATGTCCTTATTTCTTTAATTCCTTATTTATTTTAAGTTCATTTTTACCAAATTTGAACTATATGCTCTCATACCACTATAGTATACCTATGTAACTTCAATTTTTTTTAACTAAAAACGTACTTTTTTTAATTTAGTCACTTAACTTTATATTTTACTCAATTTAGTCTTTTGACTATAGTTGTTTGTAAATTCTTTATTCCCATCAATTTCTTGACTCCTTTATACTCTCATTAATATTTTACCCTCAAAATATCTTATTTAAAATATAATATTGTAAATATATTTTATAATTTTATATTGTATTTGAAATATTAAATAACATTATAATGTGAAAAGAATATAAAGATATAATATGTTATATGGTTAGAGAAAGTCAAAAAAATTGAAACTAATTTGTACCATAAATTTTCATACCATAATACAATAAATAATTACAATAAATTTTCATAAAAACTCAAATAATTCGACTCGAGTCGAATTTTATAAACTCGACTTAACTTGAAAAAAATTTAAATTAAGTTTGAGTCATAAAATATGACTCACCAACTCAAATAATTTAAATTTTCTTACTTGACTCGAGTGAATACGCACCCCTAAACCACGTATTATAATTGCAAAAATCAATGATAAAAAATGTTTATAATTACTTTTTATAAATTATAAACTATCATGAAATGACACTTTATGAATAAAATCTAAAGAGAAATCATCTCTAGATAGCATATTTTAAGTACGGGTGTATTCCCCGAAATAAACGTTTTTTTAAAATTTAAACCAAAATTAAAATCGAATGGTTAAAAAATTGAAATCGTTTTTTTCGGTTTGGTTCGGTTTTTTTAACGGTTCGGGTATTTCGGTTTTGTTTATTGGTTTTTCAATGAAAAAATCACTTGAAACTATAATTTTTTTAAAAAAATTGCCCATTTGGTTCAATATGGAACAAATGGGTTCCATATGGAAAACCCGAACCGAATCGAATTAAAAAAATTGAGACTTTAAACCGAACCGAAAATCGAACCGTATAATACCAAACCGAACCGTTTTACTCAGTTCGTGTCGATTTTTCGATTTTCTCGGTTTCGTTTAAGCATGTGAATAGGGATGGATTGAGGTGGTCACATGTTAAATTTATGATTATCAACCATCATTCATGATTCCATGAATTGGATGAAGAGAAATAGGAGATAACAGAAGAATTGAGAGAGAACCATCATTTCATTGATGAATCAAGCTTAGCAAATGATAACAGAGAGGAGTATTTCTACCAAAGGATTGGTAACAAACTGAAAATTTCCAACTGATTTCACTAATGTTCACCCAACATTCTTCTAAAGTTCTTTTCTATTCTTCAAACATCGCATTTGTTGCTTCTGGCCTGTCTTGACTGACTTGATTTCGACTGCCCTTTACGGGAAGGATACTGTACTTATGCTCAACTCCTCCAGAATTATCCTCAACTCGTCGATTAAATCAGATCGACGCTCCATCCTCACTGCCAAGTCCTGGAAGTTCATGGTATGACAACAATGGAGAGCCATCTTTAACTTATTGTCATTCTCAATCTCCGTCACAACCACATGGTGTACAAGATACCATCTGGTACTATTGGCCTCCAAATATCTGGTTGGACATAACAGCACAAATGCATACACCAATAAGTTCAATAAAACATAATCTTATATGAATTAAAGCTAGGATAATTCTACAGTCAAATTACCTCTTTATTTTTTCCTTCAGCCTGCCCATTGTTTCTGCTGGTGTCCTTAAATCAATACAGAACTCTATAGAGTCACCCATATCAGGGCTTCTGTAATAGTTGCTGATAGGCTTTGAATACAAAACCGAGTTCGGGTAGTACACCTTTTCATTATTGCCCTTCAGAAAGGTGGTCGTTAAAATATTTATCTCAACAACAAACTGTCATAGAGCATAGTTAGTAATCATTCTTCTTTTTCTTTTTCCAAAGATGCATATGGGAGCATGACCTTTCAGTAGTTTACCTTGACACCATCGACCACACAACGATCACCGACATCAAACGGATGCATCACAAATACGAATACAACGACTTGAAATATAGTCTTGCAGGTTTCTCCAAACAAAAAAGCTGCAATTACAAGAAGCACTCTTGTGGTTGAAGTTCCCACCAAAAGAAGCCATATAATAAAAGTGACCACAATCAAGATCGCGGAGACAAGTTTATTCAATTGTTCTAAAGCTTGCTTGGTGTCAAACAAAGTGAGTCCGAGTGCTTTCCGTTCCCTGTAACAATTTATCTGTATGAATAAAAGAAAACAAGCATGTCAAACAAGAATCCCTACATTTAGTTTTGAGTTTAAACAACTTAAACTATATATAACAGAACAGGGAATAATTCTTGTTAGAGTCTTCCAATAGTACTCTTAACACCCAGTTTTTGAATTCGTGTCTGTCAATTTTTCCATTTTTATATCCTTCAAACAATGGAAACACAATATCCACCTCCTCTTTAGTCATGAACCTTAAAAGGTCATCCTCATCAACAGGGTTTCAAATCGCGGTCGCGGTCACGTTTTCGGTTATTTCGGATTTATCGTGATTGCGGCCGTCGCGGGCGCTATTACGGTCGTCGCGGACGCTATTGCGGCCGTCGCGGATAACTCGAACGGCGGCGAAACCGCTATATCGCATACGAAATCACGGTCGCGGACCGTTTTTTGAAACCCTGCTCATCAATGTAACTGATCATGAAGAGACTATAGTTAAAGGCAAATTTTTAAAAAAATGGAATAAATGCAGGAAAAAAAATCACTTGAAGCATCATGAAAAGCTGATTTTCTAACCGGTTGTGATCATTTGGCGGTGGAGCAACCTTTCTGAAAATTTGATTAGCACAACTTCGTGCCTCCACCTCGTTAGTGATCTCTTTATCTGCTTGTTCACCATCTTCGTCACAACTACTTTCGTCAAAGGCGTTGGAGATTACGGTAAGCCCTGAATTGATGATATCATCAACCAACGCCTTCATTTGCCAAGATGAAACTTTTTCTTTCCGCAATCTATGGAGCTTTCCCGTGTCAATCAACCTTTTGGTTTCTTCAGCATTCTCCATCAACGGAGGTCCCGAAAGGCTCTGAAGTATGGACTGATGGAAGACCGAATCTTGTATTCTGTCAAAGAAATTGTTCTTATGGAAACTGGAAGTGAACACCATTAACAACAAAGTCTTCAACAACCACATAAATGCTCCAATGAGAATGCTTACAAGAGCCCAGGTTACGTAATCGAGAATTTTCGCGGCGGTCTTCGATCTCTCGACATCAAGAAACAAACCAACCCAGGTACCAAGAACTGAACTAAGCCATATAAACACTTGAACACTCTTCTTCAAACCATGAACGAAATACATCACTCTATTCCTCAGTAAAACGTTACTCAAGAAAACAACAAGAAACACAAACCAACTCGTAACCAACATACCACAGAATGTTACCATCAGAAGCACACACCATTCCCAAGTTTTCAAATCCCAGAAACGGATGTTGTGCAGTTTATCCACGGTCAAGCTAGATATTAAGCATCCCATGAGTAACAAAAAAATGACCCACTCGACCACAACTCGTTTCTTAAGCTTCTTCTTATAATGCCGTTTAACTTTCGTAATTATGACAGTTGGTGACTTATCAGCAGTTGGAGTGGTGGGTGAAGCTTGAGTATTTTGCACATGGTCCAATGCCTCTATTTCGTTCGGAGGTGACCCGTTTAGCGCTTTGAGATTGTCCTCCACTGCTTCTCTTCTCTGCCATGTCTTTTAGCTTCTACCAAAACCCCGATAAGACAACAAGTCAATTAAAACATGGATAATTAACAATCTTGGATCATACCTGCATTTAAGGTAAAATGATCAATTGAAAAATAAATGTATAAAGTATATGATATCTTGTATACTAAATTTGAAGTATTTAAAGTTATCAATTGTTTAGGTTAAATTCTATCATGATTTTAAAAAATAAATCGTTAACCACTCAAAATGTGATGATTGTAATATTTATGAGTTTTTAAAATTTTTATTTTAAAAAACTAAAAACTCACTAAAATCCTAAAATCTCTAATACTTAAATCCATTACTATCACCGGTTGCGATCACTGTTGTTAAATACCCACTCATTCATTATTAGATCCTATTATCAACCATCACTCTTGTTATTGCCTTATTCACGTAAATCTCTAAATTTCTCTAAACCTAAATCCCTAAATTCACAATATCTAAATTCCTAACCCCAAAGCTAATTATTGGATTCGGCGTCAAACTCCCTCTATTGGTCACCCCTTATCATCGCCTTAATATCATAAATTCTTAATTTCAATATGGAATTATGATTTAAGAGATTTGAGAATTAAAGTTATATGAATTTTGAGGTGTTTTTTGAGAAATTTTAGATTTAATGAATTTTTTAACAGTTGTGACAACATTGATTTTATAGTGATAATTTTAAAAACGTTAGATATATATTCTGATAACAATGAATAAATATTAAAAATAAATAAGAAAAATATAAATTAAACACTTATTTTTCAATTATAAAAAATGAATTTTTTTAAAATAGATGAATACAAGATAGAATCTATGACTCAATTATTTGATATTGAACACTCATACTTAAACCTTAAGGGGGCGTTTAGTTCACGAAAAAGATCATTACCAAATAGTATAATCTTTTCCGGAATTGCATTCTCACGTTTGGTATACGAAAAGGATTATTATCAGGGAGAATAATCTTTGACTCAATTTTGGGAATGTCATTACATCTAAATATTAGGTATTACACAATTTCCATAACTTTAGACAAGAATACACTTGGAATAATGAATTCTTTTTATAATAATCATTCTCGATTCTTATTTTTTGTGCTCTACTTAAAATTATAAACATTATAATAATATATAAAAGTTTGATTTATTAAAATATTAATAAATTTGAGAATTTAAAAATATTTTATATTTTTAATATTCAATATATTAATTATTTATAATTTTATGAGATGAGAACAATAATATTATTGTAAAAGTCTAATTATTTAAAATAGTATTTAACTTTTAATTATAAAAAATGGATCTTATATATTGAAAAACAATATTTTTATTTACTCACTATCATAATATTATTTTTTCATATTATATTATATTATATTTTATATAAATAAATATCATACGCATAAAAATTATTTAAAAATAAAAGTTTAATTTACTAATTATATTAATTATATATTAAATATATTTTTTCTCAAGAGTTAGATAGTATAACAACTAAAATATTTTATGAATTTTCATTCATTATTTATAATTTAATATTAAAGTTTAACTTTATAAAAATATATATCAAACATAATTTAGTAAAATATGCATTCAATTTATTTTATATTCTTTCAACCAAATATTGTAATCTTACATTCCTGTTAACAAACCAAACAAGGTAATACAATATTCTCATATAGTAATGTTACATTCTAGTAATGTTATTATCAGATGTAATCTTATATTCCGTAAACCAAACATACGCTAAGGAACGATAATAAATCCCTCAACCACTATGAAATTTGGTTTGCGGAAGAAAAAAAGGGGTGTGGGGGGAACCTTTGCGCTTTAAAAATGCGACCTTTCTTTCATGATATACTCCTTCACGAACGAGAAAAGGGGGGGTTGGGACAAGGCATTCTTGCTCACTCGAACCGAAATTTGGGCATATTATTCTGCCCAGATCCGATCCGAATAGAAAGAAATCGGACCAAGCCCAAATTAATTTATAAAATAAATAGGAGTATTTTTGGAATAAATATAATTGGTGAAGTTCACTCAAATTCTACACTAAATAAATAAAATCAAACTGTGAGCATCAGATTAGTACATGAAAGTCAATGCTTTAACAGATTAAACTAATTTCAACAAAATAAGAATAAATTCACTAAGTAATATGTAAACAATAGCAACAAACCTAAAATGAAAGTATGAATCTGATGTAAGGAAAGGGGAAGTAAATAAACAAAAATGAAAAACTAAATAACTGACTTGTGACAAATGCTGCTTCAGACGAGGTAGAAATAGGTTGTTGATGGCTGAGACGATAGCTTCTTCAAACGGATAACCAAGCAAATTCTTCCAACAAGTGTTGCAGAATGAAGGGCTAGCTGAAAAGTAGTGTGAGAGATGAGAAAGCAGGTTTCATATTAAGACTAAAAAATGGATCTTAATTAGGGTTTAGTGTGATGAGCCTTGGGTTAGGGTATCATTATAAAAAAATAGTATTTAATTCAGTTATCTATTTTTAGATGCATGTGATTTCCTGTCCTCTTCAGTCTTCATCTCTGCAAGTTGGCTATTTGTCATCAACTTTCAAACCCACATAAAAAAATAAAAAATAAAAACTTTCTTTCTCTTCCATTTTGCGATTCCAAAGCACCTCTCTTCCGACAGTTCTATTTGTTTTCATTTGTCCAAGTTAAGAACAATGATATGTAAGATTAATGCTTTATAACATTTGCCATTTTCATGTCTCTGATCCAATATAACCTTATCCATTAAGACCCGGATTTTGCTTCTGGATAAAGGGGCCACCTCAAGTCATCATCAGTTATCATATGAACTGCGTTTTTTTTAAATTTCTTGTCTTTACCAATGTAACCTATTTGTCTGACGATTTTGGTACACATCAGCACAAGAGGACACAAAGGGAATTTGGTATAATCATTGATGTTTATGTAAATCATTGTCCCTAGATACTGTCAGGACATGCATGTTTGTTTAACAAAATCAATAAGCTCTGGATAGTAATGAAATCTGTTAGATTTTATAGATAAAAAAGCTTTCATGCATTTAGTTTCATTGTAATGAAAATCTGTGAAAACTGCACAAAGCCAAACACATAAATTTAGTAATAATGTTGTTGACAAACGTAAAATATACAACATATCGATAAATATACAAGGCTTTGGAGATTACGCATGAATTGGTGACATTATCAGCCAACAACTTCATATGCCAAGTCGAAATTTTTTCTTGCTTCAATTTATGGAGCTTTCCCGTGTCAATCAACCTTATGGTTTCTTCAGCATTCTCCATCAATGAAGTCTATCAAATTTTCAATTTCATACATAATGTTTAAAAAATTTCGATTTCATACATAATCTTTTATGCCGTTAATGGGTTCACCCATTTCTGTCTAGAAAGATGATGTGGCAATTTTAAAAATATTTTTAATTTTTTTTAAAAAAATAACCTTTCATATTCAATCATTTAAATTGTTGCCTATCTCCATTTAACCTTCTCCATCCGTTTGTGGTGTGCACTTTCACATCGTCGGCATCGTCATTGTCACACGATCAAATTTCGGCTATCGGTGACCTTTGTTCGTCCGTCGTTCATTAGAAATCCATGAGAGACAATTCGAGTTTTGTTCAAGTTCCTTGTCATCGATCCCTACCGTCGTTGGTTGATGATCGTCACTGCCATCATTATCGAGAGCACCTTGCTACCGCAACCAAAACCCTTTCAATCGTTTGTTGTGAATATCGCCACCGATCTCCGTTGAAGTCGCTTCAAAGGTTCACAGGAAATAAGTTCCTCGTCGTTGATTTTCATCGTTCTGACCGGTCCCGACCTCCGTGAGCCTCATAGCCGTCACCATTGGAATCCCTGGGTTGTTCCGATCAAAACTCAGTCGGGCTTGTCCCCTCTCCATCACTACCTGATAAGTGTTCTAAATTGAAGATATTTACTTGTTAATTCTTATGTGTTATGGGGTTTATTACTGTCGATTTAGTTCTATTACGCTCATTTTCATGCAGAAGCCTATTTTCCAGAATTAGCAGTAAGAAGGGAACAATCTGTATTTTTTTTATTTTTCGATCGTGGTTGGAGACATGGGCACGACACTGGCATGACGCGATCCGACGTGACAATTTTTAAAAGATTCATTTAGCACCTTCTGGAAGTTGTTTTGAATTTAAAAACATTTGGGATTTATTTTTCTTTTAATTTTCATGTTATTTTTAGGGTTTTAGAAAGTTATAAATATCCCCTTATGGTAAAGCTTTGAACACACTTGCTTAGACTTGATTTTGTAGTTTTAATTACTTTGGTTTATAAAAGTTTTCTTTTGTTTTCATCTCTATTTTACTTTAAGCTTTATTTATTTTCTTTGGATATCATTCTCAGTTTTCTTTGAAATTCAGCTTTTAATTGAACCAATTACGACTATCGTCGTTAGCACAAAACAATTTTAAGTTTTGAAAAAACTCGACTCGGATTATGTTATCTCAATGAGAATCAAATTCGGTCTCAGATTCCCTTAGCAGACCGCTGCTTAGTGTGTTCACAGGAAATTGAATGTGCTATAAGTCGATCATTCCTACCAACTTTAAATCAGAACAACATCCAGACCAACGTCGACTTTTTGAAATAAAAGTGTAGATGCTCGTTTTTGTCCGTGATTTTCGTTTGAGTTTTTTTAATATATAATTTAATATATAAATATATATAAAGCATATAATAATTATTTTATTTTATTTTATTTTATTTTATAGGCTCGATACAAAGTCCAAATCGGAACAGGCTTCTTTATAAGGCAAAATTTACAACCCGAGCCCAATATCACTTGCAACCCAACCCGTACCACAATTGGTGGAAGCCCAAAGCATACATCAGCAAATTGACATTTGTGAGACTTCCACCATCACAACATCAGGCTCACTAGAGCCACGCCAGCAACCAATGAAGATTCGGCTAGATCACTTGGTGTTCCCTCCTCTGCTGGACCCGTGCAACCGTTTGGAAGTTCCTGCAACAAACAACCATAAAGAGTGGAGGAATTCATCAACGTGGGTAAGGGGTTTGG